ACGATCGCCCCAGGTCTATGCGGCAAGAACATGACAGATGAGGTCGGAATTGACTGCACCATCACCGATCCCCGTGATGTCTTCGTCAAAGGAGATGTCGAGGTCTACTCAAAGGACTTTGAGAAGAAAATCATTGAGGTAGAAGGCGTTATGTTCTCGCCATTCGCTGCTGCGACACCTGAGGATGACAGGCATCTCTTCCAGGAGTCATTTTTGACTGTTGATCAACCTGATGCCTATCTCATCTTTGGAGACAGGCGAGCAACTCCAGAGGAGGCACGCAAGGCTCTTGATGCCGAGCGTGCAGCCTTTTTCTACCTCAAGAACTTGCACCTTTCAGTAAGCAAGGAGCAGCGTGAGACTTTGCCCTCATACCGACAGGCATTGATCGGAAATGCCGAGCGACTCTACCACATCGTGAACGAGGGAAAGCACCCATTTGCTGCCCAGTCCTGGGTCAATGACACCAGAGAGGAGATCTTCGAGATGATGGAAAGCTACGGTCCCCAGGATGCCGATTTCAATTTGACTAAGGCTGTCGGAGAGCACATCCTCCTGCCAGAGATTCTGAGTGGAGACTCCAGCATTCTCCAGTACATGACCAAGAACAATTATCTCAAGCGATACTACACGGACGCCATTGGATTTGAGTTACTTAACTTCCTGATTGCCGGGGTAACGGAACAACTTTGCATGAAGTCGCCCCGAATGAAGTTCCTCGAAGTTGGTGCTGGAACCGGAGGTGCCACCAAGGCCATCATGGAAAGAGTCGGACATGCTTTCGGATCTTACACATACACCGATATCTCCAGCGCCTTCTTCGAACATGCCGCCGAGAAATTCCAGGATCAGGTCCACAAGATGATATTCAAGACTTTCGACGTTACGGTTGACCCTACTAAGCAAGGTTACGAGCCGCACAGTTATGATGTTATTGTTGCCTCTAACGTCTTGCATGCGACCGACTCTTTAAAAACAGCCTTAGAGCATACTCGAAAACTCCTGAGGCCTGGTGGCTACCTTGTCATGGTTGAAATCATCCGAAACGATGTCATGAGACACGGTCTCGTCATGGGTGGTCTTCCTGGTTGGTGGGTCGGCGAAGCTGATGGACGTCACTATGGCCCAAGTCTTACCCTCGAGGAGTGGGATGCCGCTCTCAAGGCAACTGGTTTCGGAGGCATTGAAACTAACTCGCCTATGCCAGACCCGGTGGGTGTACCTGGATCTATCATCGTCGCCAAGGCGCAGAACGAACAAGTTGTCCAATTGAGCAAGCCCCTTAGTGCAGTGCCCGCCACACAAACAACTTCTCTCGTCGTTCTAGGTGGTAAAACCTCCCCAGTCTCGTCCTTGAAGGACCAGCTCTGTCAACAATTAAAGCCTCAATTTGCAGATGTGATCTATCTAGAAGATCTCAGCAGCATACCAGAAGAGCTCCCTGAAGACTTCCACATTCTCAGTCTCGCTGAGTTAGATGAGAACCTCTTCGAGAAAATTGAGGAGTCGGTTTTCATGAACTTCAAGACACTACTTCCTCGGGCAGGAAGTGCTCTATGGGTGGTTAAAGGGGCCCGGTCAAGCAATCCTCATGCTGGCACCACCCTTGGCCTGTTCAGAACACTCTTCTACGAGGTACCTGGAACACTGCTGCAACTCCTTGATATTGACCAACCCCTTGACACGGTGGAGCCCACGCTCATAGCCGAGACAATGTTGCGCCTCAGACTTCAGGGAGATCTAGCTAGACGTGGTGAGTCGGGTAAGATCTTATACGAATTCGAACCGGAATTGGTTCTCAAGGACAGTCGACTCCATGCACCGAGAGTACGCCCCGCTGAAGACCAAAACGCTCGGTACAACTCATCTAAGAGATCTATCACTCGCGACATGGATATTCAGGAGAAGTCCCTTTCTTTGGACTGGGTCGACGAGACCTATATGCTCCGGGAAATGCATGAGATCGATAGCTCTGCCTCGGATGACCTAGTTACGATCAGAGTTTCGTGCTCCTTCTTGTCATCAGTCAAGACACCTGCAGGTTATGTTTACGCCAGCCTCGGAACGAATGAGAAGACGGGAGAGAAGACTCTCTGCTTCTCGAGCCGCAACACGTCAATTGTGAAAGTGCCAAAGTCCTGGACCATCCCCGTTGATGATGATGAAATCGTCGATGGCTTCTTCATGTCGTTCGTTATAGCTGACCTTACGGCCCAACAAGTGCTGCAGATTCTGCCGCCTAAGGGCACTATCGTTGCTTACGAGCCAAACCCAGCCGTGTCATCTCTTCTATCCCAGGAGTTGAGCAAGATTGGCCGAAAGGTCGTTTTGGTCACTTCGAACCCCGAGATGACTGGTCGAAACTGGGTGTATCTCCACCCCAACAGCTCTAAGAGAATCATAGATGCAGTTATACCAGCCGACGCCACCTTATACATTGACGCATCCGAAACGGATTCCGACTCAGAAGGTCTGGGCTTGAAGATCGCTACGTCTTTGTCGCGTACCTGTGAGAAGATCAACATTTCCAATCTGACTGCACGGGAGGCATCCATACTCCCCGAACAGGCCCCTGAAGCCATCACCAAACTTCTCAGCAGGGTCTCTTCTTTTGCTTCTTCGTTAATGTCCGGAGCAGTCATGCCAGAAGGCAAGACTCTGAACGTCCTGCCACTCAAGCGTGTCGTGTCGCCCGTCACGACACTAAGTTCCAGCACGCTCATCTACTGGCAAGAGGATGAACAAGTGCCGGTGTCCGTGGAACCTGTCTACCAGCGTCAGGACCTGTTCCGCCCTGACCGTACCTACTGGCTGGCTGGTCTTGGAGGTGATGTGGGTCGGTCTCTAGCTGACTTCATGATCGCCCACAACGCTAGGCACGTCGTCCTGAGCAGTCGTACCCCTATAGTCGATGAGCAGTGGGTGGAAATGCACAAGTCAAGAGGATCAACCGTTGCGTACTTTGCAGGGGACGTCACCAACTTCGAGTCCGTCAAGCAAACCTATGAAGATATTAACAAGGCCATGCCGCCCATTGCGGGTGTCGCCAACGGTGCTATGGTTCTGCGAGATGCCTCTCTCATGACAATGGCCTACGATGATTTCCAAGCAGTCCTGCGACCCAAGATCCAGGGCACGATCAATCTCGATAATCTCTTCCAATCCACCGGTGAGCCTCTCGACTGGTTCATCGGCTTCAGCTCCATCGCCGGAACCGTTGGAAACCCCGGTCAATCAGCTTACACTGCCGGAAACTGCTTTATCAAAGCTCTAGTCAATCACCGACGCAGCAAGGGCATGGCAGGATCTTCGATCGACATCAGTCGATTGGTGGGTCTAGGCTACATCGAGCGTGAGAGCCACGGTCGTCTGACACAGGAGCATCAAGAGCGGTTGACCACCCGATCTGGAACCATCGCTATGTGCGAGAATGACCTACTTCAGTTATTCGCTGAGGCCATCGTGTCCGGTCGCCCTGACTCGGGTCTCAATACAGAACTCATCACCGGTCTCGCGCCCCTGACGACCGAGCAGGCTAAGGATGCGTACTGGAAGACCAATGCACGACTAGGCTTGTTAATCAGGGAGGAAGGACACGGCTCCTCCATTGGCGGAGACAAGGGCAACTCGGTGCCGGTCAAGCAGCTTCTCGAAGCAGCCAAGACCATGCAAGACGCTCTTAAGGTGCTATTCGGTAAGTCGAACCATAGAATCACGTTCATTATTTCGTTGAACACAGCTAATTATCTACCCAGCTACCTTCCGAGCGAAGCTCCAAGCGTTGAAGTTCCTACCGGACTCCGACAGCTTATACGACGAGACACCACTCGTCGACATGGGTGTCGACAGCCTTGTAGCCGTGGAGATGAGATCCTGGTTCCTAAAGGAGCTTGGTGTCGACATTCCTGTGATGAGGATCCTGGGAGGCGCCTCCATCGCCAACCTAGTCGAGGACGTCCTGCACAAGCTTCCTCTAGAACTCCTTACCCGCCTCGATCCTGAGTACAAGAGTAAGACTGCTGCTCCGACTGCAGCCCAAAATGGTGAAGTAGAGAAGCAAGCCAAAGAAGAAGTAAATGGAGATCACAAAGATGCTCCGAATGGCGTGAATGTGCATGCTGAGGTTGAGACTAACGGTGTGACCAATGGCCATACCAATGGTCTTACGAACGGCCACTCCAATGACGTGACGAACGGCCATGTCAACGGTACTACGAATGGTCATGCCAATGGTGCTACCAACGGTCACACCAACGGATATACCAACGGCCATACCAATGGCGTCAATGGTCATGCCAACGGTGTTGCGAATGGCCACACCAAGATTGAGACGGTTGCTGATATCAATGGCACTGCTAATGCCATAACCAATGGCGCTGATAAGCCTGAGGCCTTGGTCAAGGTCTCAGCGGTGGAAATGGAGGCATATCTTGGTGCCTTGGGAGGGGCTGTGCCGACCACAGAGGTGCTATAATCTTATGACTTGGAACATGTTTTCTTTTCTTTTTGTGTATAGGTTTTTTCTTATGGCATTTTGGGGTATCGTATTTCTCTCTGGGAAGCTGTAGCATTAGCGTTTTCTTTTATATTTAATTAACTGGATCAGTTCGACCGTTAAAGGCTTGCAAAACTTACATCGAAGTGCCATTAGGTGACTATTCATGATTAGGTATTCACTCCTGTCTCTGCGTCTATCTTTTTTCTCTCTCTTTCTTTTGTGAGCTGCGTACTTACTCTCTACCCATCATGCACCTTGACTCAAGTTTCCAATCCCATTACGAGAACTAGCACTAGGTTGTCAGAATCTCAGACTTTATGCATTGGTGTGCAAGAACGAAGGTTGCTGTAATTCACCAAACAAACACACTTGATCACGGATTTGTAAGTATAAATTAATATAGAAAGACAAAGAGGCTGGTCTAGATCGATTCGCACTCTCAAACAATTAACAAGTGTAAATGAGCCATCATTCCTAAGCCAAAAAGAAAATTGTAATTGTAATGTCCTGGCTGGATTCGAACCAGCACCTTCCACTTTAGTGGCCCGAAGTCAGAGTTAGGAGGGCTACCACTACCCCACAGGACGTTTGACATTCTAGGTCGAGGTGAGTACATATTGATGATATCGATGTTGTTTGTATTTACTAAGGTTTAGTAGCCTAGTACTAATCTAGAGTTCGTACAACTAAGGGAAGTTTGAGTCAGCGCTGCCCTCGTATATGTTTCCTAGAGCCAGAAGACAGCTGCAACGTTTTATGCGTCAAGGAATGGAGCCGGTCCCTGAGTTTAATCAAGCATAGGTAGAGAGAAAGGTAGCAAAACTCGCCCAGTGGCTTGTTTACTACGATGTAGGAATCAATTATTAATGCTTAGCCACATTCTAAACCTTGGGACCTTTGGCCCTTATATGCATCCTTTATATATGCGAGTCGCTAGTACAGTACACACTGGAGTCGCCTCCATCCTTTCCCTGTCATTTTACCTGGTAGTAAGATATATTTCTAAGTTCCCGCCCTGTGAGATATTATGCATCGTCCATTCGATCGTTCATTTCGCATCATGAAAAGCTGTATATGACTATAGTGCTGGTTGAAAGGTATGCTTATGGGCGACCTAAACTCTAGGTTCCTACAGATCATTCATTAACTATGTCTATTAACTACCTACGGAGTTGGTAGGTACTTATTATGTATCTCGCAGTGATTTACGCACCGTGACTGTTCTTGTGATTTCAATTCAGCCTGTTCTTTCTCCTTCTCGGTGTTTCTCTCCCCTTTCTTTCTCCAATAAAAGTACTGCCATCTCCTTTTTGAATGGTGTTTTAGCACCTCAATTGGTTTCAGTGGGTGATGATGCGACTGACAAGTAAGATTTCATGAAACCTGAAGACATACGGGATCAAAGAGTCTGTTGCAACTTGCTATTCAATTCCCAGGTCTTGCTTTCATTAAATAAAATTGTAGAAGAAAAGGCTAAATGTGTCCAGAAGATGACCCAACAAGAAAAGTACCCCTGCAATTCTTCATCGCAATGGGTGCGCGCAAGACTAGCAAGTTGTAAACGGACACCAAAGCCTTTAAATATTAGTAGGATTAGCTCCTACTTTGCGATACGTTATAAGTACGCGGTTTACACTTTCAAGTTGGTATAAGCCTCATCAGGGGGTCAGCATGTATAGTGGATGGCCCCTAAGCCAAGCCGGGTTGGACCGGACACATTATCACGTATGCCGTATACGGGCATCTGACTGGTAATAAGTCTCCGGTTCTAAAACCAGAGCCGGCGATCGAACTCCTCCCTTGCAATCCTGCAATCCTGCACGTGATAGAGGCATTCAGCTCTCGGGAAGTGCATGAGCGGCACAGTCGTAGGTGGTTTTGACCAAAACAACTAGACTTGGCACACCCAACACTCGGCGTCTGGCAATTTCGCCAACCTGGAATCTTCAGTCCCATCCGCGTCCAATGACGGCGTTCAGTGTCCTCGAGCAACATACACACCAGAGAATGTCGTCGTCCTCGACGGCAGCTCATGCTGCGAAGGCGGGCGATCCAAATGCGTTTGGCAGTCGTCCTCCTACGCAGGGTTCCGACCAGCTTCCAGTTTCTGAGAGGACCGACGATCCCCATGCGAACGATGCCTTTGTGGTACAGGGGTTCAAGCTGTATGCTATCCTCGTGGGCATCTGCTTCGGTGCTTTCATGATGTCTCTCGACGTCTTCGTGATTTCAACGGTCACTAATCTCTATTCAACACTCAAAAGTCTTCATGACTGACATACTGACTAGGCTATTCCGTCCATAACGTCCGAATTTCATGATACGTCGCAGCTGGCTTGGTATCCGGCCGCCTACTCCTTCACAACATGCGCACTGACACCGCTTGCTGGGAAGCTAACTACCGTGTTCACTCTTCGCTGGGTCTACATCACCTTCTTTACGATATTTCTAGTCGGCAGCATCATATGTGGCTGGGCGCCAAACAGCAACACCTTCATCGTTGGTCGTGCCATTGCGGGCATCGGCGCCTCCGGCGTGGGAAGTGGTGGCCTTACCGTGGTCCTGACTATCTGCTCGGAAAAGATCAAGCCGCTCTTCATGGGCATCGTCAGTAGTTTCTTCGCACTGGGCCTCATCCTTGCGCCGGTACTTGGCGGCGTTTTCACCGAGAAAATAACGTGGCGGTGGTGTTTCTGGATCAACCTGCCTCCGGGCGCACTTACGCTTGCTGTTATGCTTTTCTTCTTCCAGCCGCCGTCGATTGCACGCACGCAGAGTGTTACCGAAAGGCTCATGCGATTAGACCTCATCGGGTGTGGTATTTTCATCCCGTCCATCTTCATGTTGCTCCTGGCGTTGACATGGGGCGGCACTAAGGAGGCTTGGAACTCGCCGACGACCATCGGGCTCTTCTGCGGTGCGGGTGCGATGTTGATCATATTCGTCTGCTGGGAGGGCTATAAGGGCGACGAGGCCATGATTCCCGGGATCGTGCTTGTTAGGCGAACCGTGACCTTCAGTATTCTGTTTTCCTTCTGCCATCTTGGATCCCTCGCCATCGCGTCCTATTATCTCCCAGAGTGGTTCCAAGCAGTCCAAGGCGCAAGTCCACTGGAGAGCGGAACTAGAATATTAGCCACCGTCTTGGCTCAGATTGTGGGTACAATCAGTGCCGGTATCCTATGTAAGCAATACTCTCCTCGTTAGCCATGCTCAAAGCTGTAGAGACTCACAATGAACATAGCCCGAGTAATAAAGTACTACAATCCATTCATGTTCCTAGGGCCGATCATGATGTGCACTGCGGTGGCTTTGTACACTCAATTTACGGCTTTCGATACGCCATCGAGCCATTGGATTGGGTTCCAGGTCATCCAGGGGTTGGGCGTTGGCATGGCGCAGCAGATGCCATCTCTCACAGTTCAGTCAGCACTTGAGGACCGACCGGATCTCCTGCCTATTGGCGTGGCCCTGAATCTGTTCGCTCAGTATCTCGGTGCCACATTCGCGCAAGTCATTGGCGGTGTCGTATTTCGTTCCATCCTGAGCCAAGAACTTACCAACCATGCTGGCCTGAACGCGCAACAGATAGCGCTATTGTCTGCTGCTGGAACTGGACACGTCCGCCAGACTGTTGAACAGTACTTCCCTGCTGAGTTGCTGAACCCTATCTTGGAAGCTTACAATACTGCTATTACCTCAACATTCGTAAGTTCCCTTTCGCCAATTTTATTGTTTTGGACCTGTGATTTGTACTAACCACTGCGACGTCGATAGTTCGTTCCCGTGGTTACGACTGCTTTGGGATTTTTCATGGCCTTCGGCATCAAGTGGAAGAAGATCAAGCCAGCGCCAGGCAAAGACAAGGCCCAGCAAGCGGAACGGGATGTGGAGCTTACGGAACACCAGCCGAGATCGTGAAAAGTTCCTTCGGTGGTTGTTGTGTAGGTAAGTTTGCGTACCCAACCCTTATGGAGTATGTCAAGATTGATGGTCCGCATCGGTGGTTCCACTTATAGAGATGCGATGTTCATGATCTCTAGATTATAACCTCAATTCTGAGACTCGATGTCGGTTCCATATGAACCTGTACATAAATGTGTTGTAAAATAGATGAATGTTACATATCAAGGAGGACTAGACTTAGAGAGTAGGCTCGTGCTAGTAAATAATCATGGAATAGAAGGGTATGATATTGCATCACATTTACATGAGAAAGTTGGTTAAATATTTGAGTTGTGTTACGTTACAGATAGAAATAGGGGGTGTTGTGCAACTTAGATCCGCATAATTATATGCGCTACCTGCATAATTGGCACAAGTGAGCTGTCAATTTGAGGCTGTGCTAATCACCCCGCCATAATCCTTCAGCGGCACCAGCCACGCTGACGTTTGAAGCTCCCCGATCCCAGCCTGGACACGGTTTCTCCATGACAGCTTACCTTTTTTCCTGTCTTCCAGCTAGCCTGAGACAGTGTAATTCTTTGTTCCCATCACCACCGAAAATTCTCAATTCGGAACGATGGATATTCTCCAGGTATGTGAAGTAGCCTTACTAAAGAGAAAAGAAAAAAGAAGAAATATTAATCGTGTTTGAATAGCGCCTAGCCCGGTTCTTGGACCGACCTCTCTTCCCGTGGAAGAAGCTCATCATCGGTTTCTCCGTCGCCCAGTATTGTTTCGAGGAATTCTTGTCGCTTCGCCAGTACCAAGTTCTGAAGAAAACGAAGCCCCCGAAGGTTCTCGAGCAAGAGGTCTCTCAAAATGTCTACGATAAAAGTCAGGATTACGGTCGAGCTAAAGCCAAGTTCGGGTTCGTGAAAGGTCTCTACGGTCAGATTCAGAACATTGCATTCATCCACTTCGACGTTCTCCCAAAGCTATGGTCATGGACTGGTGGCCTCCTCCGTTTCTTGCCCGCTCGATTTAGCGGCGAGATCTCACACTCTATCGTCTTCGTCCTCACGTTCGTCCTGATCCAGCAAGCCTTGTCTCTGCCCGCCAATATCTACCATACGTTCGTCTTGGAAGAGAAATTCGGGTTCAACAAACAAACTCCAAAGCTCTTCGTCACGGATATGATCAAGTCGAACCTGCTCGCTTTCGCCTTTGCGCCTCCGATCCTCGCCGGTTTCCTCAGCATCGTCAAGAAGACAGGCAACCAGTTCGTCACCTACCTCTGGCTCTTCACTGCTGTTCTCCAGGTTTTCATGATCACGGTCTATCCTATCTTCATCCTGCCGCTGTTCAACAAGCTGTCTCCCCTGGAGGAAGGCAAGTTGAAGACCGAGACTGAAGCGCTTGCGAAAAAGCTGGAGTTCCCGCTCCACGAATTGTTCGTCATTGATGGCAGCAAGCGCAGTGCGCACAGCAATGCCTACTTCTTTGGACTGCCGTGGAAGAAGCACATTGTCATCTACGATACCCTGATCGAGAAGAGCAAACCTGAGGAGGTTGTCGCTGTTCTTGCACACGAGCTCGGTCACTGGAAGCTTGGCCATACTACGAAGCTTTTCGGTGTCTCCCAGGTATGCTTAAATCCCTTAATGCACCTACATGGTTCATGCTAACAATTATCAGCTTAACG